CAGGAAAAGCCTTCAGCATTATTGATTAAAATTCAAAGTATGTGGTTAGAAACTCACGTATTTAACCTGGGAACTTTTGTTCTCCAAGTCAGAAATAGAATTCACATTTCTAAGTATCTAGCCCTCTTCTCTAGCAGTCCTTCCTTGATGAAACACTTCCCTCGAGCAGACCTCCTGGTGTTGTCTATCACATATTTTCTGATTTAGGCAGTAAGCAGCAGCAAGCCCCCCCCAAAATATATCTTTTCAGTTCACACAAAATTAATTTTATTTAGAGAAATGTTCAATAGGCAACTGACAAATTTAAAGAGAAATGGTTATCTGATAAAATTACTATTATTTAGTAATAATATTTGAAGTAATCCAAGAATATTTGGATTACTGGGCACAACCACAACACATGGGTAAAGGAGTTGCACTTCTTAAAGCTCATCTACATGATACATGTCAATAGAAATGTGTTAGATCCTACCTGAAGACAAAACCCTCTACCAAATATTTCACAAGAAGTTTCTTCCTACAAGTATTCTCTCTTCCTTTCCACTGTTTCAGCTTACTTCCTTTCCTCACTGTTAAATTTCCCTTTGCTTAGTCCTCCTATTCATCCAATTTTTCTATCAAAACTAAGATACCTTAAATATCATTGGCCAAAAGAAGGCAGTATCTAATGAAGATGCAACAGATTTTTAAGTAACATTTCTAATTGTTCAGATACTAGAAAAATGGCACTTTACCCAGCTAAGGCTACTAGTCTTCACAAATGTCTTCACAATATTTCATACTTTCCATCAAAAACAGTGGTATTAATTGGGTGATACTTGCTTGGACCAGCATTATATATTTGACAGGCTTTTAAGGAGAGAGTAGAATATAGTAGAACATCTTTTTGTTTCACTTATCTAGAGAGATCTTTGGGTGGGTTTTACATTAAAATTTTTAAAAGTTATCTCAATTTAATAAAAATTACATCCATTTCCTCACACCATTCTCATGCATGCATTCTTCCCTGGCCTCTCTTACAGTTCTGCCCAGCAAGAAATTAATTGTCACTGCTTATTCCATTAGGGTGATACATGACTAAATTTAAAAATATCTTCAAGTTTTTTCTGTAAAATTAATACCTGCCAGTCTCGGATTTTAATACAGATGTATGAAGTTTTTAAGATTCCAGCCTATTTTCTGAGAAATGGACACTTCAGGTAACCGGTTATCATACTTGATTGTATATCCAGAGACTAAGCCAAATCTATACACATGAAATACTGCTGTTTCAAGGAGGCAAATGGGATTTGAGCAAATATCTGAATCTTATTTGCATAGGGTACAATCTTATGTCTCATCCATTATCTATCCTTCAGCCCTTTCACTCGAGGACTGGTCAGAGGCTGTAGATCTCATCTGAGCAGCAGCAAGGGCAATGGCCCTGTGTTTAGTTCTCTTGCAAACGCAAAGCTACATGTAAAGCTATATTCACTCCTAAAACAACTCTAGAACTCTTAAATGAAATGGAAATGTGCCTTCATCACTTCCAACTTTTTTTTATATCATAACAGCATATTTTCACTGCATTGGGTAAAGCCTTTCCTACAGCAAGAGAAAGCACAATATTTCTGCTGTTATTTTTATGCATATTCAGCAATAATTACAACCTTTTTATAAAGATAACAAAATTTAAAAAAATCATGCCCATTTTGCTCTAATACTCAATTTTTTCTAATCCCATATCTAAGAATACAAATACTGTCTATCATAAAGCATTTTCCTGGCTTATTTTCTAGACAATTACAAGTTTCTATAAGGACTCAAATTTTTAGCTGGAGTATTAAGTAACAAAGACTAGAGTGTGAACTCCATGGAGAGAGCTTCTCTTCCAAGCTTGTTCTTTGTTATAGTGACAAAAATAACTACAGAGTTTTAATAATAAAAAGTTGAAAGAGGTAATTTTCTGTTGAAAGAAGTAATTAAATCAGATTTCACTTTCTCAAGTGCTTAAGCCATAATTGGATTTGTTTTCTAGATAGCCCTCAAATTTTATAGTATAGATGAGAGTTTAATTTCAGATGTATATTTAAAAGACTAAAACGATATTTTCTTCTTATCCATTATAAAGAAAATGGTGAAAATATGTCCTTACTTCTTTGAAGAGCATTTCCAAATAATCCAACATTAAGATAAAAATAGGAGAGAAAAATGAGTTAATGCTTTGAGGGTAATTTATTAAACTGGTGATCATATGCTTTCGTATGTTTATTTGCAACTTCCCAAATGGTTATTTTAACACATTCACTGCATGTGTTTAACCTTCTCCATCTAATACGGAGGACAGATACTTATTAGTTTAATGGTATACTGTGTAAAGAACAAACTCTTCCAGTCAGAAGTCTAAATGCATTCCTCCTCCATTTCTGGATTTTGTAATTTTTTATTTTTTTTCTAACTGAAATCTTACACAGCTAGAGTCCCACCTAGAAGGCCCTTCACACTACTGAAATATCTTCAGCTGGGCTGTGATCACTTCACCACAAAGTCCCAGCATTTACACCTACAAGTCTTGATGCTATAATGTCTTTACTAAAATACACTATATCCTGCACTGTCAGACTCCTACCTTTCATGATCTTCAAATATATACTAAAGCTAATGTCTTCCTTCAGACTTTTCCAAGATAATACATTCCTATGGTGAATCTTGCTTGGTTTTTAATCCAAATAGTTTACCTTACTACTGGCACGAAAAGATTTTTTTTCCACTGACAGCTGAATGTTTGAATTTTGTAAAGGACAGTTAAAAAATGAGACTAGAAATTAAGGAGTTAAGAAATTAACAAGCACTCAGTTTAAACAATCTTTCTGTAGGGTTTATATATGAATTAATTAAAAACATATATAAGAGCAGAAATGGTGGTCTGACAATGTATTACTGAAGATAGATTGGCTATGAAGGTGTTTGGTTACAAATTACAAATTTATTACTACATGGATATTAAGATATTGATCTTACAAACAGTGTGTTACAACTTGACTATTAGGCTCAGCGCACCTCAAGGAGGCACATAATATTATAGGCAGTTTCGTCTGAATTCATCAACAAGCTTCTGAAAAAGCCAGTAGAGTATCTGAATTTTACTTCCCGTACACGATTTCCTACTCAATGCCATATTTCAAAAGTCATTATGCAACTGTGTATAGAAAATTTATCATTGATTTCCATTTTTTTTTCCTCGTGATGAATACAGAACCTTATTTAAAGTATTTTTCTAATGAAAAACAAGGTGCAAATTACTGATAGATGGAGAAATGGAATACAGCTACCATAAATCTTAAAAGTTAAGTTGTAGCCAAGAGGCTATATTATCTTAAATTGAGAATGACCCATATTAGTAAATCAGAGAACTCATCACATCTAGGAAAGTTATTAAGAAATTGAGGGCCACCCCAACAGAGAACCATACAGAGCAAAATAAATATGCCCTTCCTGAATGACATACATAAACATCTGTTCACATACAGAAAAGCAGATCTGTGTCACAGCAAAACCGTAAATCACACTTGCCTATTTACTAAATAACCTAACTCTGTAAAGGAACCACTGCCTAGGAAAGCATAAGCGACAGAATAAAAGAAATACAAACAGAAAAGGCCTTCAGGAATGTTGCTTGTATCATTTTCACTAGGCTAATGAAGAATTTTTAGCTGTTCAAGCAACCAATTTTATGATAATACCAATATTAATATTGTCTGCAGTGAAAGTCCTGTTGTAACAGTTCACATCCAGTGGTTACACTCATTTTTAACTGCATGAGAATACAGTTCCTGGTAGGGCTAGAACCACAAAAGAAATGTGGCAATCGACAAACAAACTGAGCATAACACAACAAAGGGCAAATACATCTGAATACAGATGTGTAAAAATAGCAAAGGTGCAGCAAAAATGTTTTCAAAAGCATTAGTTGGCAAAGTAAGCAAGTGGAATTGATTCAGGAAGCAGCTATGTTAGATCAAAAATCACTGATGTAAGAGCATTACCCCCTGCATCCAGACACAGCAAATCTTAAACTCAATCAAAATTAATCTTCGTTCATCATTCATGTTGTGGACCACTACAGAGTACAATCCATTTTTATCTGTAGATACTAACAGACAAGATGACTTAGTGAACCAGAGCAATGCAGTATAACAGGTCAATCTGGACTAAGAATATCACTTTCTTTGGCTGATGACATATAAAGCAACTTTAATGATGTTTTTTTAAATACTTGTACAAAA